GCTATCACAAGGAGACAAACACGAACATATCGCAGCCTCACAAAACACACACGCATGCATTTTGCACACAGGGAGGCCGTCTTTAAATGACCATAGCCGTTGATAGTACATTAAACAATATTAAACCAAACCGGTGTACGTGACAAAAGCCGTTTACCCAGGTCTCTGAAAATCCGGAAAATGAATGAGATTTATTAAGTTTAAACAATATGTTCTATTTACACAAAACAGATACATTATAAAAAACAGATAATAGTATTAGATAACATTTGCACTCCTTAGGGTGAGATAGTGACAGACATTCTGAAGCACCGTCCGACGTCCTACAAAGCGGCCTCTGTGTTCAAGGAGTGTCGTCTGCCCTAATCGTCTGGTTTTGATATCTACATATCTACTGATACAAACCTACCGCGCGTAATTATATTTGTATACTAACTGTTGTTTTTTACGATACTTAATAGGCTAATGTGCAATAAAACAGACAACAAATACTTCGTCATTGATTACTGTAGCACTTGACGATTTAGATGTATCACTGGGAGGGCAGCTTCCCTTTAATAGCCATATTCCTTCAGCATGTGGTCAATAGAAAGAGTAAAAGAGCCTATGTAAGGTAATAGTATTTGGGTACAGTAACGCACCAGGCTTTGAGCCAATGTAACGTCACAGTACCCGGACCGGGACACTTTTTAATGAAATATTGATGTATTTCATACCATAGTAACGATCCCAATATTTTTTGTTCAATTATCCTAAATAGATATTATCATCTTTTCATTTTGATAACAAGTTGATATTTCCAGCGCGTGGTTCTATAAATAGAATCGGAAATATAGTCATGGTTACGTAATCGCGAATCAGGTGTAGCAGTACCCAAATCGGGACACCCCTACCAGTTTCGGCTTATATTTGGAGATGAAAAAAAAGCATTTAGCAGAACATGACATATCTTTGGAATATTTAAGAGTCAATGGTCACTCTGAATGAATTTCTTTTCCAAAGTACCATTAGATCACATACAAAAATTGAAAATCAATAACGTCGCATGGCGCATCAATTTAGAACGTTACATTTTCGTCCTTATTTACAAACTAAAACTGTGATTGCAACCATAAGTGGCAGTTATTAAAGTTCATATAATATTTCATTGGTATATGAACATTTTTAAATCAATATTATTAATTCAAAAATACTTCTTTGCACAGCATACAAATTTCTTGTGACTTTTCCCTTCAAGTGTCCCGATTTGGGTACTGTCCCGATTTGGGTACTGTGACGTTATGGTATACTCGGGGACGTGGACAGTTTCCGCGTACGTCATACATTGTGGACAACATCGCTTTAAGCCAATGGTATATTGATTGGTATATTTGAGGGGGTAATATTGCTTTAAGCCAATGATGAATATTTCGAGCATCATTATTTTAAACCGATGGTATATTTGTGGGAAGTATATCTTTACCATAAGACAATGGTATATTTGGGTGGGAGTAATTATTTACTGGGGATGGTACCCTTGTAACACGCGGTATATTAGGGACGGAATAGTTTGTCGGGGTGGGGATGGGTAGTTTTCGAATTCCTTTAGCAACACATGTGAAAAGGGACGTACTTTTTAGTGGCGCATTAGGGGAGGGGGGTGGGGGTGGGGCAGCAACTCTTAAACTCAGTGATATGTCCGGGAATACTGTCTCTTTAAGCTGACATATCTTGTTTAATCCAGTAGCGGGTTGTTATCACATTGCATCATATCTTGGCGTTAAAGGAAGTTTATAGGGGTGTGCTGGGTCCAGATTGTAAGGTCATTCTGTCGTCTGTGTGAGGTATGAATCATCAAATTTCGCTTATCATACACACTCTGCTTTACAATCCGGAAAAACCGTACTATAACATACTGATTTCGTATAAATTTAAACGGATCATTTCATAGAATGTACACACGTGGTCACATAACACAAGTGTTCCTGAATATGGGGATCTGGAAACCATTTATCGAGTGTATGCTTTATGGTTGCACCTGTCCTGATGTGTGGACAGTTTTATAGATAACAAAACTAGAGGTTTGAGGTTTTAAAGATTTAAATAAACACTCGGAAATACAACATCAAATATATAATAAATCATTTATCATAATTTATGCGTGTTGGGGGAGTGGGGGAGGGGTAGTTTTAAACTCTTAAAACGTCTTACAATATTCTTACACGTTGATCAATACAAGGAGCTAAATCCACTGTGGAAACACTACAGGCCAATTGGACCTTTCATTGACTACAACAATTGACCATCAATCTTAATATCTGAATTACTTTCCACATTGATTTTTCATCGATTTCAACTTTTAATCGTTGGGCTGGTCTCACTCTTTCTTACACAGCAACATCCGGTCGATCCATATAACATCCGGGTGTGGAGTAACATCCGGGTTACTCCACACAACACCCGGATGTGGATTACACAACATTCGATCTCATCCACACATGACTTGGATGTGAATTAAAGTGCGGGCTAATTCTTACAACATCTAGGATCATGTGTTTATTAGACCGAACTTTTAACATAACTGATATTAATGTACAAAAACTCCCGAGATTGGTCTGTCTCTGCTGGGATTGCTAATGTACCAGCTGTTCTTACGATAATCAATGTCGGTACATTAGTGTCGTTATACCGAACTCAACAAGAACAAAAGGAATACTTTTACCGTTACTGCTAATCAATTACTGTCACGATGGGACAAAGTGTGTCGTATATACTCATACGTATAGACCACACGGAACTAAGAATTTGTAACATCTCCATTCGGACCTAACTAAGGTTTTATAGGCAATTTGTGTTTTATTAATTTAAGGAGGCGGTGGTTTGTCGGTTTGTGTGGTTTGTGCCGCAGGGACCTGATTATGTATTACAGCTATTTAGTTGGACCTAAACTAAGGTGTTCAGCGCAATTTTATGTGATTTGGGGGTCAATGGCATCTTTAGGTAAAAATAAAAACTAGCATTATAACCGAAAGTTGGTATAAATCCCTAAAACGTGTCAAACGTGTCAAAATTACTCTGTTTAACAGGTCCAAATATAGCGGTTACAAATTCCCTGTGGTTTGTGACTCAACTCAATGTATCTGATAAATGCACTGTTTGTGTTTAAATACCGTATTACATCTGTCCTACGTTAAATTGCTAATGTTAAAAATCCTGAAATATCACTATATTAAGTATTTCCCACGTTGCGAAATTGAATGAATGTTAAAAAAACTTCGCCCTCTCAACCAATAGAGCAGAAAAGTGAACTTGGTTCATGTGTATGACAAAATCAGTACAAAACCGTGTTTCATTCATACACACGACCATACTGTTTATAGTAAACAGCCCTGGGGCGGAGTATGGATACGATCATATTAAATAATAGTATCACATAAAATGTCAATAACACCAGAAATGGCATGCATTGTTGAAGTGTAAGTGCGTTGCTGTATTTTTTCCGGTGGTTTTGTGGACAACCCGGCACATTATTGTGTTGAACCGTTGATTAGAAGTTCTGTGGCACTTATTAATACTATACATGAGTACAGTACCTCAAAATACCATTATAAACTTCTATACCTCTATAGATTGAAAGGAAATAGGTACACAAATAATGCTGACGTCATTCCCTGGTGTGTAGTGTTAGTCCACATGATTGAATTGTGCTATGGGAACAGCGGTAAACGAGGCATGATATTGGTGAAAAAGAACGCTGTTGGCTACGTAACGTTATTTCTGACTGGATGATGGTGGGTTTTTTTTACTCAAAAAGGCTATAACTACTGTTGTACACAAGAATGTTTATATCGCCCACAAAAAGTATACGTCGTCTATCAACATTGTAAATATTGTCTATATAACCTTATATACATGTATGGCGACCGAAACATATTTTATATCACATTCCCGAAACATTTTATATCTTGTCCAACGAACATTCTATCTTGTCCAAAGAAAATGGCATATCTGGTCCAAAGAACATAGTATATCTTGTCCAAAGAACTATTTATATCTCGTCGATAGAATATTATATATTTCGTCCATAGAACATCGTATTCTCGTCTATAGAACTTTGTATATCCCGTTCAACGAACATTATATGTTATGTCCACAGAACATTGTATATCTTGTCTTAAGAACATTTTATATCTCGCTCATAGAACATTATATACCTAGCATAATTTTTTTTTATACATCTCGTCAATAGAACATTGTATCGTCTATAGTGTATACCGTCTATAGAACATTGTATATCGTCTATAGTGTATACCATCTATAGAACATTGTATATCGTCTATAGACATTTTATATCGTCAATAGACATTTTATATCGTCTATAGAACATTGTATCCCGTCTAGACATTTTATATCGTCTATAGAACATTGTATGTCGTCTATAGACATTTAATATCGTCTATAAAACATTGTATATTTTCATCATACAATATTGTAAACCTCGTCTATATAACATTGTATATCGTATATAGACATTTTATATCGTCTATAGAACATTGTATATTTTCATCATACAATATTGTATATCTCGTCTATAGAACATTGTATACCGTCTATAGAACATTGTATATCGTCTATAGAACATTGTATATCGTCTATAGAACAGTATATCGTCTATAGAACAGTGTATCGCGTCTATAGAATATTATTACTATCGCCCAAAGAACAATGTATATCTTGATATAGAACATTGTACATCTCGTCCATAGAACATTGTATCTCGTCCACAGGTGTTTACACCTGTATCTCGCCCATGGAATATTCAAATCTCGTCAAACGTGCATAGCACGCAACGAATGCATCGCAAAATGTAGTGACAATCTGTAGATACTGTGTGTAATCTCAGCAGGTCATATTTAAAGTAATGTCACGACACACCTTACTATACAACCCGGGGTCACTCAACCGGAGCAGTGAGTGTTGATTACGTTGAAAAGTAATGAAAGGCATTTAAATTTACTCACCTGAATAAAGGACACCCAACACAGGCAAAACAGGAGCCACCTTGGGGTTCTGAATCTTTGGCACATGCGGGGATGGAACGAAAACCATCCACATGGAATCGTGACGTCATCGTCACCAGCAGCAGTAGCACCTGAATCCAACTGCCCGTCTGTCCCATCAGACGGTGACATTTCTACTGTAGGCCCCATGTTAACAAATATTATAGATTGACAACGATTTATAATTACTGACTAGAACTCCACATTATAACACACACAACATACACAACATGTGTTCATCCGGCTTCACGTAATATCCTCATAGTTATTGTAAAATGTCTTGTCAGTATCCTGAAACACTAGGGTAAACAACGGTAACGTCCTGTCGCCTTCCTCTGGCCGTGTGTTACACGTTTAGCTGTACTCCGGGTAGATGTAGTGGGGCGCTGATGGGGTATCTCGGTCCACGGTCTAGCGTCCCGGAGCGCTGGGGGCGGCTCTACTGTAGCTTCAGTTATAAAGTTGGTCAATAACCGAATACGGCAGATAGAGTAGCATGTGATATTGTAGTCAGACACTTGTTACATCTGTGTCACTACTGGCTTTATGAGCACTTTATACTATACACGTGTTTATTGGGTATCAAGCAGTATATATATATATACTGTACACTTGTGCATACTGGGTAGAAGGTGTTGTTCTCAGAACATCATTGCTGTGTAGCCGTTCACGTATCTGAAAATCATTTAATATTGATAAGTTTGTCTATTTACGTGTGGGCAAGATAAGATAGTTCCTTACGCTATCATTTTAAAACTAACACGTAGGTGAAATCTACAAGTGTGACCTCATCAATGTAAACACATCTACGTAAAATGCAACTATTAAGACTATAGAAATAGTAAAGTAGTACGTATAGATTTAAACATATACAGAAACAGCGTGCCCTAGTAAGGAATTCATTTCTATACAATGTGTGATTGGAACGTAACTATTTCTTTACAGTTCTACAACTGCTAGCGCGCATTATGATGTTTGTTTGCAAAGATGTGTCACTCAAATATATCATAAATACCATACAAATACAGTTCAATGCTTAAATATACATCTTTTATAGTATATGGGGCAAAGAAGTAATTCCAACAGTGTGGACAAGTTTAGGTTGTCAAATTTTCGGAGCGCTACGCTCCTTTATCAAGACACAGTGAAACAGAACAGGTACATGTACATATACATCATATTACAAGAAGATAGAACTGATATGCTGTAGATATATAAAAGAGATATCTTTTATAGTATATATATAGTATATATATATCTTAATTTGTATACATCTTATATTTTATATACATCTTATTTAGTATATATAGTATACATGTATATACAATGTATTATATTTATCTTATTTAGTGTACATCTTATAAAGTACACGCATCTTATATAGAGTATATCTTATTCAGCATATACATCTTATATAGTTATGTCTTATAAAGTAGTGTGGGGTAACTTATTTAACATATGAGGTATCTTACATACGATATAAGATATCTTAATGTATTAAACAATTTATCTTACATGCTATATAAGACATTTTACCAATGCTTTGAACTGAAAGCAGTTCAATACGCGTACATAATTATCTTTACCATTTTTTGAGTCTCTTTATCTCATAGAAAATTCATTTACATTGCAATGTTTTTATAGTATGTGTTTTTTCTATGAATAGAACATTCAGCTGTCTAGGAAGGATTAGCGGTGACAATGATGACGTCAACACCTGGATCGTAAACATTCATAGCGTACATGAATGCCATCTGAATGTGGTAGGATTATAAAGTGACAAAGTCACACGATTGTAAATATAAGATATATACTATAGAAGATAACTCACTGATTTATATACGAGATATCTCACATATGTACGAGACATTCATACATATATACGAGACATTCTCATATATATACGAGACATTCTCATATATATACGAGATATCTCACATATATAGGAGACATTCTCACATATATACGAGATATTTCACATATATACGAGATATCTCACATATATACGGGATATCTCACATATTACGAGACATTCTCACATATATACGAGATATTTCACATATATACGAGATCTCTCACATATATACGAGATATCTCACATATATACGAGATATATGACATATATGCGAGATATCTCAAATATTACGAGACATTCTAATATATAAACGAGATATCTCACATATATACGAGACATTCTCACATATATACGAGCTATCTCACATATTACGAGACATTCTCACATATATACGAGATATCTCATATATGTACGATATATCTCACATATATACGAGATATATCACATATATACAAGATATCTCACATATATACGATATATCTCGAATATATACGAGACATTTTCACATACATACGAGATATCTCACATATATACGAGACATTCTCACATATATGCGAGATATCTCACATATTACGAGACATTTTCATATATATACGAGATATCTCATATATATACGAAATATCTCACATATATACGAGACATTCTCACATATATACGAGATATCTCACATATATACGAGACATTCTCATATATATGCGAGATATCTTACATATTACGAGACATTTTCACATATATACGAGATATCTCACATATTACGAGACATTCGCATATATATACGAAATATCTCACATATATACGAGACATTTGCACATAAAAGATGTTTCATATACTATCAGATATCTTATGTAATTGAAATATCGTTCCTTTATAAGATGTCTTATAGAGGAACTACATGTAGAATTAAGCGAGATGTCGAAACTGAAGTCTCTCCATGCGGAATCTCTCGATGGTTTAGCATAGATAGTAGAGTTTGTGTCCACAAAATGTGGTCCGGTCAGCATAGCCCAACTCAAGGGTGTGTGAGATTTAATACTATGCCCGCCATGACAGAGGCAAGGTACAAAATAGGGACCACGCTCTACATGTTCATGCGTTGGTTAGACCGTTTGATTTGGTTTGATTTGAATTTGATTAACCCCCTATTATAACAGCTAAGGCCATTAAAGGGCGAGCCTCTGTGTGTGGTATGTATGCGTGCTTGTGTGTATATGTGCTCGAGGCAGGATATGTTGATGTATTTGCCTCTTTGTGATATCGCGGACTTGATGCAGACGTTATAATGCTGCCTCATTGAAATACCGTGACAGTATGAAATTATAAGACTATTATTTATGTGTTATTTATATATATTATGTGTTCATATCAATATATGCGTTTAAATACTTTTAATGGTGGACTGACAAATAAGTGTCATGGACATTAAGGGGAATGCATCCTTAATGTTTGCGTGTACCTGTAATTAAGTATGCATGCTATGACATTTCATTGAATTTTGCTGTTTTTCTACATTTAGATCCGGAACTTAGTAGTTGGTTTGGTACTTAGTATTGCCTCGCGCATGAATAAACAATAAAAGTAGTTCGTAAAATAGCCACAAGCGTGTTGTCGTGTTTACAGACACAACATTTTCTGGCGACGGGGATGAGCACATTTACTTCCTAAACGAAGCCATGGGTGAGCCTGCACCACCAGCACGGTCAGTCGGCAAAATTGGCCAATTCAAACGGTCGAAACTTGGGAAAGTTATACAGAAAGAACTGTATTTCATGGCCAATGGGGTAAGTAACGAGCTGAAAGTTGCCTCATTCTTAGCTATTATTGGCCCAAAGTCTTATAGCTTATTTTAAAACATCGTCGCACCAGCAAAACCAGTAGAACTAAGATACGCTCAGATACTGGAATACTTGAACGGACACTTAAATCCGCAACCCTCAGTGAAAGCTGAACGTTTTACAGATTTCACAAGAGAGAACCGCGCCATGATGAAGGGGTCATGAGTTACGTACATTGTAGCTGAAATAAGAAAACTTTCGCTGCATTGTGAACTCGGTGATAACTTGAACGATACTTTAAGGGACAGATTTGTTAGTGGAATTAATAAAGAGAATATTCAGACACGTTTATTAACAGAACGGACTCTCACACTGGAGAAGGCGAATCAATTAGCGGTCGCCATGGAAACCGCCATCAAGGATGCCGTGGAGCTGCGCGAACAGAGGCACGCGATCGCCGGACAGGTTCACAAATTACAAAGCCGAGGGGGAAGGGGAAACAACTCTAAAAGTTCGTTCCCTCAGCAGAACACATCGACTCATACAAGTGCTATGAGACCATGTTGGAGATGTGGTAGAACACACAGACCATATGTAACTACTGTTCAAAGAAAGGACACATCGAAAAGGCATGTTTGTCAAAGAAAAGAGGTTTTAATGGTCGACAAATCAAACGAGGTAAGAATGTTAAGTTTGTTGAAGAGCAAGTTCTAGACGAGAATTCATATGAACCAGTACTACATTATCCATTGATCCATTGGAAGAATATAAAGATACTGCCTCAGTATTTTACACTTCGCAAATAGACAACTTACCAGTGACAAGTACTCTGATGCAAAGAGAAACACTAAGGGACGCCACTCTATCACAAGTTTTAGGAAGTGTTATGTCAGGTGAAAATAAACTGTATCAAGCGGAACAGTTTCGTCCATACTACACAAAGTTCAAAGAACGGTCTTGTCATCAAAATTGTCTGTTGTATGGAAATCGTGTCATTGTGCCGGAAACCTCTCGCAAGGAATCGTTACGAGAACTTCACGAAGGACACATGAGAATTATGAAGATGATGTCAGCAGCAAGCTAAGGTCATATGTCTGGTGGCCTAATATCGACAAGGACATCTAGAATGAGTGTTTGTCATCCCCAGAATGTCAACAATACTTGCCCAAACCCAAGGCCGCACCTGTACATCCCTGGGAGTGGACATCACAACCCTGGGAACGTCTACATGTAGACTTTGCAGGACCGTTTAAAGGTCACATGTACCTAATTCTGGTGTACTCACATTCCAAGTGGCCGGAAGTTATCCATATGACCTCTACTACAGCTTCAGCCACAATCAGTGTACTGAGAGACATTTTCGCGAGATTTGTTCTACCTAAGTAGTAAGTGTCTGACAATGGTCCACAATTTGTTGCCGAGGAATTTGAGACATTCCTGAAAAACAATGGTGTGAAGCATATCACATCTTCACCTTATCATCTGCGAACGAACAGATTAGCAGAAAGATTTGTAGAAACTTTCAAGAGTGTCATGAAAAAGGAGGGCAAACCTATCAACCAGAGATTGAGTACATTTCTTTTCACCTATAGAAATACGCCACATCCAGCTACAGGAGAGGCACCTGCTAAACATTTGATCGGTAAAAGTCTACGGTCAAGAATGGATCTCTTAAGGCCCGATGTTCAGAGTCGAGTTAAAAGGGAACAGGAGAAAATGATGTTTTCTTAGCATACCGGACAGGAAAAACACATTTGATGTTGGGCAGTCAGTAATGGTGTATGGTTATCGTGGAAAGATTCCGTGAATACATGGGACAGTGAGTGTAAAGTTAGGTCCACTTTCATACAGAGTCAAAACTAGAGAGGGCGCTTTGTGGCGTAGACATGTGGATCAAATGAGAAGGACACAATCCGTAGTATCAGACTCA